AATGAGCTGAAATTTTTACTGGGAGTATATAAACAAGTAATAAATATAATTAGAGGGTATGCGCAAAAAAATAAAAATAAGGGACACCCTAATGTACATAGCCTTAAGTATGCAGGTCTTAAAGGCAAATATTTTATGTATGCAGATGATACAGTCTTAGTTGGGCGATTCCGTACTCGCGGGTGCAACATTTAGACTCACTCAAGGCTTCTTACTAAGAAAATAAAAACTCCTTTTAAAGAAATGACTAGTCGCAGGATTACATTGTAATCTGTTTTACAAAAATTAATATAAAAAATATTTAATAAAATGTATAAATAGACACAGGAGAGATTCAAAGTGCTATCGCGGGTGCAACGAAATCGGCCCACCATTAAAGTTCCTGAAGCTAGAATGAAAAAAGTCTGTTAATTATGGAATATTTACTAAATTATTTTTACATTATTTAAAAGAATACAAAATAAACTAATTATTAACTTAAATAAAATTATTAAAAGAAATAAATATTATAAATTATTCACTTTTTATCCAGTCGCGGGTGCAACGTAAAATTATCGCGGGTGCAACTCGTCTCACTGTAGTGAATATAAACATTTCCATGTAACTTTAAATTAAAGATATGAGACCATAGATGCTGTATCACTAATTAGCACTTTCCTATGTAACTTAAAATAAATTATTTGTTTAGAATAGTCGGCGATTTATCAGCCTTAACCCTTTCAGTCCCAATGGGTTATATAAGTCCCAGAGGCTGTTTAAAGAATTCCAGAGGGTATTACGCGCTATAAATTAAACCCGGTCGATGTCCCACTGGTTTTAGAGATCGTTTTAACCCAAAATTTTCGCGCGCCAATTTTTGAAATCGGTTAGTGTGTTAGTTATTAGTAATTAAAGCACGTGCTGGTTGTTTATACTTCTTTATTTGGTGTTTTTTGTTATAATATATGTGAAAAAATGTCAAAGTAAGTTTGTAAATGTTTATTTATTACTATAGAAACTTTTTTATGTATGTAAAATTGCAAATATAGAGTAATTTTGTAAAATTTGTTGATGGGTTAAATAGGTCCCAGTGGCATTTGGCAGTGGGATATGTTTGTCCCAGTGGTAATACTAGAAGTAGTTTGTAGTTTTCCATTTTTATAAGAAAAAGGAGTTGGCAGAGAATTTGTCTGATTTGGAAGAGGAACCATTCGATGATATTGGTTCAGAATCTGCCTCAGATGCTTCAAGTGATAAATTTTCACGACCATTGATAAGTAAGATGATAGTCGTTCAGAAATTTCTTCTCCCAAGATGATAAGAGTTTTATAACAAATATATGGAGGGGAACTGTACCAAGAAAAAACAAGAAAGAAGAACCAAAACAATTTGTGTTGCTTGCAATCTACCACTACACTGTTTTACTGCTTATCACACCTGTTATAAAAAGAAAACCCGGTTTTCTATAGTTCTTTCTTTTTTGTGTCTTCAAAATTAGTACTAATGGGACATATATGTCCCACTAAGTACCTATTGGGACATATATGTCCCACTTTAAGTACCCATTGGGACATATAAATCCCGGACCCCCAAAAGCCCCCCTTTGCTAAATAAAATTTTAAATTATATTTTTTAGTTCCTTGTGATCAATATCAAAGGAACATAACAAAATCGAGACATTTGAACCAAAATAATAAATTGGGACTGAAAGGGTTAAGGTTCATCTTCAGAATCGCTGTAAACATAAGAAACGCGTAACTTTTTCGTTACTTTTTTTGTAACTTTTCTACGTTTTTTTTTTAGTAGCAGTTGTCAAAACTAATTTGACATAAATGTCAAAAAGTTCGACATAACCTTAAATCTTGTTTACCTTTAGTTTAGTTTGCTATTTTATGAAATTTAATGGATATAAAAAAATTATATAGCAAAAATTATAAAAAATATACAAAATAAATAAATTTGTATCTGGTAAAAAATGAAAATATTTACCTACCATTTAACAATACATTCGCCGTTTCCTCATCTACTTCTAAATTTATATCCCTTTCCTGATGATTAAGGCTTATATTTACCATTCGAATCATTTTTAATTTTAAAATTAACTGAACCGTTGGTTCAACCCAAAAACCCGGTAAAATTAGCTAAACTCAAAAGCTCGATATCGAGAACTGTCAAACATAGTAAAAATAAACAAAAAACTTGCATTAAAAAGAGAAGAATATTTACCGCTACCAGTAACACTACTCATATTCTGTGTTACTCAATTCTTAACCGCGGTTACTGATTTGACATTTCATGCAGTTACCGGTTACTCGCTAAAATAAAATGGTTTTAACTTTTTATTACCGGTAACTCGCTTAAAATTCCCTAATGTAATCGTAAGAGTCATAAGTGTTGCACCCGCAATTCTAATATTTTGATCGCGGGTGCAACTCATTTTAGTCAACGTTAATTTTAATTAAAATGACAATATACCTTCTATTGCGACTGAATCAAGTTTTCCTTTTATTTCTTCTTACTTCTACAAAGTTTCAAAAAATTACCAATTTATTTCTTCAAGAAAACCAAACTTTCATTTCTTTTATATCGCGGGTGCAACTGACCAACAATGGTTTCTTATTTAATTAATATTGTTAGAAAAATAATAATAAATATTTAATTTTTTTATATAAGGCAATAAACAAATGTTATGACTTCATTATTCATCAGTGAAATATAACCTCAAACCACCGGTAATAGCGATTTCGTGGAAAAATTATGAAGTGTCGATGAATGGTTTGCATCAAGTCTTCAGGCGCCACCATTTCTGAGCGCGCCAAATATTCAAATAATAACTTAAGTTCTTCAAAGTTTTTTTATTATTAAATTTATATCTTTCTCTTTGTATTGGTATAAAAAAAGTAACAAATACTGTGATTTAAAAATGTATGTCAAAAATCGTCTCCCGCGGAATCGCCCAGTTTACTCTGAGAAGAAAAACACTTTGCTAGAAAACAATATTAATGATGATTTAAATAAATATTTACAGTGGTTAGTGACTAATAAACTAGTCATTAATGTGGAGAAGACTGAATATATGTTATTTAAGCAAAAAAATAAACCATCTATAGATATTAATGTTTTCATAAATTCTCAACAAATTAAAAAAGTCGGGTCATATAATTATCTTGGCCTTTTAATAGACGAAAACCTAACATGGGTAGAACACACACAAAAAATTTGTAAAAAATTGTCATCAACAGCTGGGGCCCTAAGAAGATGCAGTTATTTTATAGAAGATAGCCACCGTAGAATGATCTATCATTCGCTTGTTGAATCTGCCTTGAGATACCTTATCGTTTTCTGGGGTAATTCTACAGAGTATTTATTAAATAATGTACAAAGAATCCAAAACAAATGAATTAAGTTTTTATTTAATTTGGAGTATAGAACACCCTCTAACCAACTTTATAACATAACTGGCTTTGGCAATATAAATTTTTTAATACATTATGAACTGACTAGATATATCTACTGTATATTAAAAAACTATACAAAGAGCAATACTGTGTTAATGACCACTTCACAAATACACTCGGTAAATCTTAGATCAGCAAATAATCTTAGAGATTATTTAAGAAGAACCAATGCTTGCCAATACTCTGCCATACACAATGGAATTCAACTGTATATAATCTGCTACCTAAAGAGATCAAGACTGCCAATACTAAAGTGATATTTGAAAAAAAATTTAAAAATTTCTAAAAAATGTTAATATTTAAACCTAATTATGATTACTGTGATTTTATGTCTTATAAGAAAAAATATATAAGTATAAAATATATATATTTTATACTTATATATTTTTCTGTATATTTTGTATATGTTTATGTATTATAAGGTAATTTTTTGTTATTTTTTTTATTAATATTTCATAACCTGTGATTGTAATATTTTGTATTAGTTCATGGCACCAGTGCAATAGCACTGTTTTAATGAACATAAATAAACATTATTATTATTATTATATTATTAAAAATATTAACAATTTAGCCATTAATTTAGCGCAATACAATACCGAAACGAGATTTACCAACGCAGTTTTTTATAAAACTAAAAGATTCAACGGATAACGAAAATACTGCGACCCAAAAATCTGGGTAGGTACCCACTTGGGTAGACAGCATACATTTTAAAGATTTTACAAATGCAGTGTCTACTCAAATGGTTATACAGAATTATAAAAATTTAAGAAAATTACAACTCCAATATACAGGGTGTACAGTGTTACCAGATTCTGTTTGTTTTAATAATTTTTCTGCCACAAGCGTCATTTTCCTGTTGTGTATGTTTGCTAAAATTGCTCTAATTAATCTAAAATCCAGTAAATTGTATGGATTTGGTAGTTTTAAGGTATATTTAACTTTATAAAATACGAAAAAAAATATAATAGAACTTTTGTAGTCCTTTTTTGCCGATTATTAAGTATTTTATAAACAACAGCACCCTATAAAAGTAATTGGCCACCACGTGGCAAAATTGCTGTAGACCAGTGTTATTATACAACATATTTTCTTAACATTTAGGTAATAGGATCCATAAAATAACCATGTAAATAAAAACCGTTTAATGCATTGGGAAATCGTTTAATTTTTAAATTAATAAAGTTGATAATATATGTATATGAAATATATGTATTAGTTTATTTTTGTTTAATTTACCACTATAAATAAACAGGACATTTGGTAACCTTGGTGTTATTAAAACAAATTGTTGGTTCATTAGTTTTTATGGATAAAAAATATTAATATCTTAACTATGTATGTTAACTAGGCATTAATTATACTATAGGGCCACAAACGCGGTAAAATTCTGAAAATATCCGGATTGTTGCTGAAGGACCGCAGTGGAAGAAGCAGAAGCAGAAGAAGCACGTGGGGACCTTCGTCGTGGCTGGTCAATGCGAGGAGCGCGTTCTTCCGCGGACTGGCCTCGCGCTAGAAGGCTGCACTTCGATATAAAACACAGAGTTGGCCGGGCAGCCTGCATCCGTCCAACCTAAAGTCCCGCCGTGTGTACTTCTTGCACTTTACACTACCACCCCGATCTGCACCTGTACTATTCTTCACTTGTTCTTCTACACGAACTACCTCCACGATTATCAACATGAAATTCGTAAGTGATTATCAAGTGATTTTTTTGCATTGTGCTAGTGAAAAGTGCCTTTTTATATCTACGGTGGCGTTATTTTAGGATTAGCTGTTCTGGTTCCAGAGCGGTAATTTTTACCTATATTAATCCATTATTAATTACATTGTACATAGTTTTTATTACCTACTCACATCTACATAAACATATACAAGTTTCAATACTAAAAATACAGAAAATAGAGTTATAATACAATTATTGATGTTCGAAATCATTTACTAAGTTTTACAACTGAATACGTCAATGCATAAGAATTTACCAAGCTTAAAAATAATAATAAAATAACACATAATAGTACCTGTTATTTTTATTTGCGCAATAAGAATTGAAATTGAAATTACTTATTGTCTATAAATTTTAAAAATATAAAATTTCCTAATTTCACGTTCATAAACGTAAATTTAATTTTTAATTGCATTCGAGAGAATCCTATTTGAAAAAATATTTAAAGCCATTATTTAAAAAACAGTAAATAATCAATGAAATAAAAATCTATTTTTGTAAAATTTGGTTGTATGCAGTTAAATTTTTAAAGCGGTTATTAAATTATTTACCTAAACGTTTTTTCATTAATTGTATCGTATTTAAAAAAATAATCAATTAATATTTTCTGCAGAATTTTATAGTTCTTGTTTATTTATCATCATTACATTATAATTTTACTTAGAGAAACTCGAATGTAGGTTTTCACGAATACGTTAAAAGTTTAACCTATTTAGTCGTATGAACGCACACGAAAATTGTGAAACATAATTAAAACACCATAAGAAGCAATAATTGAGATTCCTTTTCGATGAAAATTAGACATAGAAATTATTTCAAGCTAGAGAAATGTTTACAATAACCTCAATCCAACAGCACTATAATGGTATTATTGACACTGCAGTGTCAATAACAACAGTTGCAACGCGCATTTAGGAATGACAACGTAACTTTTTCTAGTATTGAATAACGGTAACCAATATAACCGCCCCGCCTAACAACAGGAATAATGAACTCATTATTCACGTTGTTAGGCATCAGTGATTGATTTCAATATTCACTATTATTTAAACAGATCGGGTTTTAAATTGCGAAAAAAGTAAGGTTAACAGATTTCAGATTTTTTATATACCTTTTTTTTCACAATAAACATTAGATTTAAGGCGATTCTGCTAAAGACGATTCTCGACATCAATGTCTACATCACAGTATTTGTTACTTTTTATGCAAAGAAGATCTAAATTTAATAATAAAATTAATATTATCTTTTAAATTATTTATTTATTTATAACCCAACAGATCTTGTTCCAATTAAAGGACAAAATGGAGTCAGAATTCGTGAAACGCATGCATCGCCAAAAATTGGTGATTCTTGTTTTTCAAAATAAATTGGTTTATTTTGTTTAGGTATGATATAAAATACGAATATTTAAATAAAAAAATCTTTCTTCTAGTAACTTATTATCGTAAACAATTTTTAGTCGTTATTTTTATTTGAATAAAATAAATTTTGTTAACAATGGGTTATAGGTACAGCAAAATCAGATGAACTACTTAACACACGCACAATTTCACAATTATGAGACTAGAAATAGAGACAAAAATGTAGCCTCGGAACAATTTTATATATTAAATAAGCTTCCAGAAGAGATCAGAAAGTTGAACACATCATTTTTTAAAAAGACTAAAAAAATTCTTAATTTAAAATGTAGGTATTGATACCTTATTTATATTACATTTTTATTTATATAACATTTTTATTTTTTTATTTTTTCATAATATTTTTTAACTAAATGAACTTGTTTATTGTTAAGCGTTTTTTATTCATATATGTATACCGTATACATATACAGTATACGTCTACGTTTCTTCTACATTTCATATTTTTGTTTTTTAATTATGTTTTATAAACTGTTTTGTTCACACGCCTTTAAAGGTAAATAAATATCTATCTCTAACAGTTAATTCACATGAAAAATTGTCCGCTGAATCCAAAAATATCATCAAAACTTGAACAGTTTTTGAGATATTGTCAATTATTCGATGTATCTTTTGAACAAAAAATTACAACGCTTTCAAATTAACATGTTTTTTGAAGGTCTGAACTACAATTGTAATTTTTTTCAAATTTTTCGATGCTGCAGAACAATATTGATTTTTTTTTATAAATTAACAAATATTGAAGGTTCGTGAATTATTTTTTTTATTATAAACTACGTCATAGACTTTGTTCACAATATTTTATTTAATTTCATCTAATATATTTTGAATAATACTAAAATGAAAAAAAAAAACGACAATATATCGAAGACATTTTTTTAAGTGGCCTCTTTTGGAAAATCGTATTTTATTTTTAAACTGAACAGAATGAACCAATTTATTTAAAAAAATAAAGACCACCGATTTTTGGTGATACGTTGCACAAATTCTGACTCAATAAACATACATAGAAAAAATCTAAGTCGTGCTTAGAAACATTAACACTCGGGGTTTGGTGCATAGCTGTTATCGACTTGTTATTGACTATAAAAAGCCTTGTTAGCTTGTTGCATCCGCGATATTAAAGATCTTTATAAAAGTTTGTTTTTTTAAGCGTACCATTGTTTTTATATTATAAGACTCATAACTCTGTATAGAGAGTCTTTATATTAAAACTAGTTCAAAAATAAAATTATTATTTAGTTAAAAAATAAAATTATTACCTACTCCGTAAAAAAATATAGCTAAAATGTCATTATTTCAGTTGAACCTAACCTAAAAATGGTACAGAATCTTAAGAAATTATTTAATTAAATGCTTAAAGAAAAGCTTATTAGTTGCCTCGCACACAATCTACTAGTAGCTACTAGTAGCTACTAGTAGGCAGCTGCCTCAGCTCTGGAATCGCCCTTTATGGATCTAAAATTTAACTTCTTTTATTTTTAGCATTTTATTATTAGCCCCATTACACTAAACATGTCTACAATTCTACAAGTAGTACTAATGTTCAACATTTTTTTTAATATCTTTCCTCCTTTTCGGATTGGAGATTGAATTAATCTTTTTGATCATAATTAACTAAAGATTTCTTGAAGGGAAGAAGAGATATTGAAAACATGTAAAAATTTAAAAAAAGGAAGAACTTTTGAATACCGCAACGACTTTTGTGAAAAAAAATATTTTGTAATAGTGGTATTAGTATATTGATCTACTTTTGAGAAAGTTGGCCATTTCCATAAGGATGAAATATTGCAATACGATAAAAATCATTTCTTAATAGTTGAACACTATACTTTTTTTCTTCATTTTATTAAGTTTGGAACAATTTTGTTCAATTACCATAAACACAGATTCGATGACAAATGTTAGAGTCAATTAATTTTTAAGAAAACAATGAACCGCAGTAATGATAAATACTACCGTGAAGAAAAGTAGAATTTAGTCTTTTCATTGGATAGTAACCCGTGGTGAAAGAGGTCAATTTTCTCGACAGTTCAAGACTGAGCCACTTTCTCGATTGAAAACGTAAGAACTGTACAAATTCTTTAATATGATTAGAAAAATCACGTTTATCCGAAATCGGCAGTAAAGTAGTCAACAATCGACAGTAAAGTAAAAGAAATCGGTAGTAAAGTAGAACTTTACTGCCGATTTAATACGAGTATTGTATGCAACCCATTATACATTTTAAGATGTGTCTACTGCTCCTTACACTGAAAAAATGTATCCTTAGCCGTTACCGAAAAATTGTTAAATAAGTATAGATTGTTACGGTTGAAATAGGTGACAGCAAATGTTTGTGGTATTTATTACCACAACAAAAATGTTTTTAAGTCTTAGTAATGTTAAATGAAATGTCGTGTTACATATTAACCATTAATAGCTTCTTAAGCAGTACTACAACGTTGTGGTATCAAATAGAATTACCGAATTCTGATAGTAACTACTGCATTATAGTAAGTCTGAACATTCTTTAGTCGTTTGAAATATGCTTTAAGTGAGATATATTTAATAACAACGAAATGCCATTAAAAAAAGTAATATTTATTATTTATTAACTTATCAGGGTAAATATTTAGTACTTGTAAAACCAGTATGTACTAATATTACGGTATTTAACCAATAATTTTCTTATCTGGTAAGCAGTATTACTTCCAAACGTAAAGTGACCAGATTCTGTCAAAAAATAGGGGGACATTTTGTGTAAATTAATCTTAATTACAAAAATGATACAATTAACAATAATAAAGTAACGTCAAATTTTCAATTTGCACTGTATTGTAAATTTGTAATTAAGGTAAATTCATACAAAATGTACCCTATTTTTAGACAGAATCTGGTCACTTTATCCAAACGGAATAAATACTGAATTAAAAAGTTATATTATCGATGATCGTTTTTGGTGTTATGTAAAAGTTTGCAGTAAAGGATATAGGATAAAAGAGAACATGTTTTTCAAAAGTTTTTATTAAAAAAATATATATAAAATTCTTAGAATAAAATAAATAACTTTTATGATAAACAAAAAAACCTAAACAAACAATAATACAATATATATTCTAAATATGAGAAGGTGTAACAATAAAAAATTTAATAAAAATATAATAAATAATTTACTTATTTGTTAAATTTTTCTTAATATTAAACAAGTGTTTGTCATTCCCGAAAGGGTTAGCTATAAGTTTTAAAACTCATAGCCTCATTGTATAGATATTACCACAGAACACTTGTTCTGTGGATATTACTAATATATTAAAAAATAACGTCAAAACTCTTCAAAACAAATATTGAACGTTGAATCTTATTAAAATAATACCTGTACATGCTGTAAGTAGTAAATACCCAAATAGGTTTTTTACCTAAAAGCATAAAAAAGAATAGTTCTTCTATGGTAAAAGGCAAAAATGTTTATCTCGTCACCACGCAAAGGCTGCAAGCGAATATAAACCTAAAGGTGATACTGATCAAACTATTAAATAGAATGAAGGAAGTACCCCTTTACAAGC